TAATAATAATAATAATAATAATAATAATAATAATAATAATAATAATAATAATAATAATAATAATAATAATAATAATAATAATAATAATAATAATAATAATAAAAGTATGAAAAACTGTATTCATCAAGTAATCACTTTCCTTTTGTCAATTACTTTTTATTTTATTTTATTCATTTATTTTTGCTATTTTGATTCTGTTAAAATTAACAATGATAGTAATTCTGCAAATAGTGATAGTCCTTTTAGCACTAATTTAGCTGTAAAATTTGAGTCTGTAATTATAGAAAAAAATAAAAAAGTTGTCAAATTTAATAACGAATTGAATTTTTAATTATTAATAGTTTAAAAGTATACACATATGCATTTAATTAAAATCAATATCACCATTTCAACTGATTTTAAATCATTGAAGTTTTATTTGAAAATAATGATGACAACAAGGCTCGTGATAATATTGATAATAATAATAATAATTGTTATTATTATTATGGTAACAAATTATTTTCAAAAGAATAACAATTAGTGATAAGAAAATTAAACAATTATGAATTTTTGCAAGTTTCTTTTCCATTTTTAAAGAATAGTTGTCAATTTATTCTTTATAAGTCATTTTTTTTTCTATTTTTATACTAAAAATGCGTAAACTGCAATAGAAATTATTGCCATTAATTAATCACTGATAATAAGTCATCAAATAAGCAATAATTTATCTTCTATGACATTATTTAAATATGTGTTTGTTGACCTTCACATAACCATTGATAATATCAGTTGTTGTCCATTGATATATCTATCATGCAAATTACTAACAGTAAATTAAATTTATGATGTATTAAAAGAATTTTTTTTTTTTGTTTTTTTTGCATAATATTATAATAATTTAAGCTTTTTTTCTCTCTCTTCTTTGTTTAAAAAAAGAAAATTTTACGTAATTTTTTTTTTATTTTCAAATAATTTGAATTTTTAGTGATGAATGAATGTGAAATGGGTTTAGCTGATTGTGATCCGAAAGCAACTTGTATTGATATGACACATAGTTTTACATGCAAATGTCCACATGGTTTTACCGATAAATCACCGGATCCGGTTAATAAGCCCGGTCGAAATTGTTCCAAATGTAGGCTTATCCACTTTTTTTTCCGCTATTTGTTTGTTTATTTTTATTTGAAAAGACAGAAATGAATTAATTAGCTGCTTTGTAATTTCAATTTCAATATAAATTAATGTGACACTAAGAATTATTCCTTTAAAAAAAAAAAAAAAGTTAAAAATCATGAAAGCGTCGTTTGTTTGTCACATTGTCAATTATCTCATAATTTTTTTAATTAATTACGATACTTTGCATGGAATAACGAAAAAGATAGGTTAAGATGATAGGTAATACATTTCTTTTTATTATTATTTATCACGTTATAACTGATAATATTAAGAGTGAAAATCGTATGTAATAAGCCAATTAACTTTTTAATTTATATATTTTATGGCTTTTTTTTTTTTGCAGTGATTAATTCATGTGATTCACCAAACTTTACCGGATGTCAATCAAAGGATTCGAAATGTATTGGTACTAAGGATGGTTTTGTCTGTCGTTGCATTGATGGCTATATCGATTTGAATCCGGCAAATCCAGGAACAAATTGTTCTAAAGCAGGTACGATACGATATTTACTCTTTTTTTTTTAAACTTTAAAACAGATATGATACTGTTATTTTCCTTTTTTTAAATTCCAAAGCAGATATGAATACTGTATTTTTTTTCTATTTTCCTTAATATTATGGAAGTACAAAGAAAACAAAGAAAAATAGAGATATTCGATTGCACTAACAATTTAAATTCTAAATTATCATAGATGATACAAAAATGATAATATGTTTCGGATACTGTATCATACAGTAATCGGAGTTATGTAATCTGGTCATTATGTTATTGTATAGGGTGAAAATTAGGATGAATATTCGTCATGATTTGGTTTAAATTTTGCAAAAATTAAAATGAATTTAAATTTTTAAAAATATTAAATGAAAAAAAAAGCAAATGGAAAGAGAATTGAAAGAGAAAAGTTGAAATGGAAGAGAAAAAATGAAATGAAATGAAGAAAGATAAAGATTAAGAAATATTTTTGGAATAAAAATGATTATTGTTTACATATCGATGCATTCCATTGAATGGAACAGAAAATCCGATAGTAAATGGGACAGACGGATAGGATAGGATGAGATGAGACGATAGTAATAGTAATGAATAATTGTGGTGATAGTTGATGACAATTTACTGCTGTTAACCTTTTAATACTTAAAGAGTGGAAATTTATCGGTATTTGAAATTATTAATAGATGAAGGAAGAAAGAAAGAAAGAAAGAAAGAGCGAAAACGAGTGAATAAGATAGATGATGATAGAATTAGAGATCGAAATTGTAATAATACATAAGAAAAGGTCAATGAAATGACCCATTCATTTAGTTTCATATTCATCCATCTGTAATCATAGTTGATAACAACATGTATTAAAGGTCGAGAATTGAATATAATTGAAGAGAAGGTTGAGATTATAATTAATTGGAAGGTGGGAAAGATAGAAGAGCGGGAAAAGGTAAAAGAAAAGGTGGGGTTAACGGGTCGAGATCAATGATTGTAAGAGATATTAAAATGGAAGGGAAGGGGAGTGATGGGGAGGGAGGGGAGGGGGGGGAAAAAAGGGGGGTAAATTTTTGAGGTGGTCTCTCTCTCTCTCTCTCTCTTTCATCTACGACCATTCTTTTGTGTGTTACCTTTGCCGAACTGATCGAAAGAAGGGTTTTGAACCAGACGAAATTCGGGCAACACATTTTATAACCAACATCATAACGGTGATTTGAGTTAGTTTGGTCCGGAAGAATTATTTTCTGTTTAACGGATTTGGATCAAAGTAAACCTGAATTAAGCGACATTATTACGGAATCATATATATATATAAACAATAATTTGGGCTATTATTCATCTAATTACTACTAATTTGCTTCAATAATTTCATTTCAATATTCTTTACAAAAAAAAAAAAAAAAAAGAAAAAGAAAGAAATCGAATTTAATTCTGAACTGTTTATTCATTTTAAATACTATTCCTGAAAGGAAGAATTAATTATTTCTGCTAAATGCAACAATTTGTTATAACAATACTAATTGTTATTGCTGTATCGGAATTAATTTTAATTCATGCTTTAGGTAAGTTATTCGATTTTGATTTTTATAACTTTTAAATAAGTATGTATTTAAATTTGCGACGATATAATTCGTAATTTCTTTAGATTATTTTAATTACGATAACAAATTGATTAGTAGTTGGGGAATAAATTATTTTAATAAGCATATAATCAAATTTTCTAGCTTATAAATTCAAATTAATCGTGATATTATTATATTTTAAATTGGAAAAAGAACGTTTAAAATTTGACATTTGAAAGATTTCGAATTATTATTTAAGTATTGTAATACATTAAATATTGTATAAATGAAATATGAGAATGTATAAAATGCAATTATTATTATCAGTAATAGTAGTATTTGCATTAATATTGCTATCAATATTATTTAATTCAATTCCTTCAGAAAACTGTTAAAAAAATTGTACCGAATATTCAAAAGAAAAAAAATAAAGTTAAGAAATTTGTTTAGTATAAAATAAGTGTTCATCGGAAATGATTAATTTGTAATAAAATCAAGGGAAACAATCATTGTTCATTTTATAACGTTTAATTTGATAAATTAGATAAAAATTATCTCATAAATTTTACCCTATAAAATAATTAAGTAATAAATATAGAAATATTAATTAATTAATTCGGTTAATAAATTTACAATATATAGTTTTTTTCCTGTCCTTCCCTTTTTTTTCCTTTTTTCAAAAATTTATTTAATTTTTCAATTTTTTTTCAGATTACACTTCCATGTTCACATTTCAAAATTTAAATTTTATTTCAAATATTCAATTTTTAATCAAAAGATTTTAAGAAATAATCGAATGATTATAAATAAAAATACGTAATATACAACTGATAACAATGTCCTGAATTTTTAACCATTTTCATAAATTCAAAAATGATGAATGGATCGAGATTGAGATAAGAAAATTGCATTTCTAATATATGTCATATATGATTGGAGAAAATTTTATGTGAAAATTTGAATTTTAAACTTTCAATGAATTAGTATTAATAATTGAAAAGTGAAAATTAGAACAAAATATGGATATAATTTTAAAAAAAAAGACAAAAAAAAAAGAGGGAAGTGAGAGAAAATCATTTTCAAATTAAATATTCTGAATTTTTAGTATTTAACGATTTCATTATTTAATAAAATTTTGATAGCAAAATATTTTGCAAATTTTTTTCTAACTTAAAAAATTGAAATTTTTGATAGATTTTTCAACACATAATTTTGTTAATTCAAAAAATTAATTTATTTATAAATTTTCCAAAATTTATCAAGTTAATGAAAAGAAAATTGGCAAATCAAAAATTATTAAATTAGGAAATACTTTCCTCATTACAATTTTTTAATAATGATTAATAAAATTAATGTCACATATACTATTAGTATTAGAAATTTAATTAAAAATCAATAATAAAATCAATTTTATATATCAGATCATCGTTTTCCTTTTAAACTATCTATAATTCTTTCTTTTTTTTTTTTTTTGTTCAAACTAACTTTCCTAAATTCCTGTAAGGTCCTCCAAGTTTAACTTTTTTTTCAAATTTAAATTTAAATCCAAATTTAAACATTTTTGAATAATATCATTTCCATTTTTATTTTTCTTTTCCCATTATTCAGTATTTATTTTTATCCACTTTTCCTTTCGTATCCTCGCTTCTTTCTCATCTTCCTCCTTTTTTCCTTTTTTCTTTTTTTTAATTTGAAATAATGAGCCGTTCAAATTGATTTTAATCATTTCTTTTTAAAATACATTTAAAGAAACAAAACTATGCCTTAAGGCTATAAACAATATATAAATTTTTATGAGAAAAACAAACAAACATAAAAGAAAACAAAAAAATGCAAACGAATAATTTGCATTTTTCATTCTTCTTCTCATCAATAAATAATCCAGTTTTGTTAACAAATTAAATAAAATTTCTAAAAAAGAAAAAAAACGTTTTCCTTTTCATTTTCTTTCTTTCTATCTTTTCTTCTTTCTTTTCATCCATCCATTATATTATAATATAATTACATGCATATTTCCATGCCTTTTTTTTTCCCTCCTTATCACTAATATTTTGTGAAATTTATTTTATGCAAAAAAAAAAGTTATTTATATATGCATTGCTCATCCTTTTGTCAAACTTTTTTTCTTTATAAAATTTCAAAAAATATGGAAAGAATAAAAATGATTGATCAGAAATGAACTAATTTAAAAAAATAAACTAATTAATCAAAAATTAACTAATTTAAATAAAATGAACCAATTAAAAAGATGAACTGAATTAAAATTGATTAAAAAAGTAAACAAATTAATCAAGAATAGATTAAATTATAACCAAAAATAAACTAAATTATAAACAAAAAATAAATTAATTAATAGAAATAAACTAAATTAATCATTCATCTTCTTTTTGTATGTGTGTTAATTACTTTTCATTTTGTTAGAATGAATTTTTTTTTCCCACCAATTCCAATTTTATTTGAATCTTTAATTTTGTTTCATTTTTTTTTTTTGATTTTCTTTTTATTTCTCAACATGTTGTTAATCGTAAATAAAAAAAAAAGCGAAAAATAAACTCCATTTGGTTTTTCCTTTCTTCTTTTATAATTAAATTAAAAAATTATTCGGAAATTTCGTTCCTTATTATTATTATTATTATTATTATTATTATTATTATTATTATTATTATTATTATTATTATTATTTTATTATTATTATTATTTTTATTATTATTATTATTATTATTATTATTATTATTATTATTATTATTATTATT